CCGCGGCCCGGACACCTCCAGCCCGAACCCGGCGGCTCCCGCGCCCTGCCTCGCGCCCCCTCCCCTGCACCTGCCCCGCATCTCGCCGGCCCCGACACATTTCCATTTCTATGTTTATCATTCATCAAAATGGCGACCGGTTTTTCGGAATAGACCTATCTTTCCATTTAATCGGTCGATAGGCTGACCATTTAAATATCCTAGACCTGGGCAAGGGGGTCCGTTAAGGAGGAGGAGGATGACCCCGAGTGAGGTGATGGCCGCCCGAAGATGCGCGCTGCATTTAACAGTCTGATTAAATAAATAAATAAATGGCACTTGGGTAGCGGAGAGCAAATGATTGGGGCACCGGAGAGTTTTGCTCTCTTCATCCCCTTGGTTTGGGCCACAAGTAGTATGCAAAATCTGGAAGAGTGCATACTCTTACCGCACTTACATTGTCGGTGCAAATATTTCACTGATTTGTCTTCAGGGGTGTGCATACAAGGGTGGGGGTGTCTGGTACTCTGACTTGTTAGTTAACATCCTGCGCTCCTTGGGAAGATGAGTTTTAACGGGACCGGTATCGCTTCTTCATTTGCACTGGAGTCATCTTAACAATGCACCCAATGCATCGAGGCAGAGGTGAATTTATCTACAGCACGTACATTAGAGACGGATGGGGGTCTTGCGAATGGCACACTCGAAAAATTTGGAACGTTCATTCACATAAGGAAGCTGGATTTACCGGGGTGTTTCCTGTTTAAGACATCATCAGTTTGACGGAAATTAAAGTTTATGGAGTTGGCTTTATTTTTTAAAACATTTCAATCTTTCTTGGTTCATCTACCCCCTTCGTTTTAATAATTGTGATTCTTTTGGAGAAGGAACATTATCTGGTCACTTTTAAGTGTATTTGATGTAAATGACTCCTAAGCTTTTTAGTATTGGCAAAATTCTTCTTAAGGTCCTTTAATTAATGAGCTTAAACGAGATCATAGTAGACTAAGGAGTGCTAAAGAAATACTCCAGGATTAGTTAGATTTGGCAGTCCACATCACTTTGAGTTATTTCCTGGCAATTATTGAAGGCTTGGAAAACACCCTACAGTTTGGGTGGATTATTTGGTAGGAGAATGGTGGTTTTGCATACTTTAGGTAGGATATAGGCAATGGCTAATTGTAGTCCTTATGTGTTTGCTCATGTTAAACAAATATAGCTCATCACTATTTACTGTCTTTTTATTTATTTATTTTGCAATATGTTAAGGTTTGTCATGGTATAAATCTCTGAAGTTTTGTTAAAGGGTCAGTTCATTTTGTTTTACCATAGTAACTACAGATAGAATTGGAAGACTTCCATGTTTGGAATAACAACTGGAATTTAGTCATCAGTTTCTACAGTGCTGCAAAATAATAGAACATGTTTAGATTTTAATTCCAAGTTTGAAAGTATAAATTCTACAGAATGGGAAACATTTCGTACATATTTATTTTTCAGTGTAATTGGCTTATTTTTGTTCTTTAAAAAAAAAAAATTAACCCCATATTTCCTGCAGCTATATGCCCAATGTTTTAATCGCTCTTTTTCTCTCTTGAGGGTGGAGGGAGGATACAAAGTTTAAAATTATTGTGTTAACGAAGTATATTTCCTTGCATTTTTCAGAAGACGGCCAGTATTTTCTAAAGGTTCTCATACCTAGTTATGCTGCTGGATCTATAATTGGGAAGGGAGGACAGACAATTGTTCAGTTGCAAAAAGAAACTGGAGCCACCATCAAGCTGTCTAAGTCCAAAGATTTTTACCCAGGTAGGTGCAATGGTGAAGAGATTGTTTGATAAATCCCCAAGGAAATAAAAGATCTACCTGTGTTGTGTGCTGTATTGAAAAAAATCTTAATAGTGTAGACTGTTTATTTATTTGATGTATTAGAGTATTTGTGGAAAAATTTTAAGAGTATTTTCACTCTTGGTTATGTTTTGTTTCTGTAATTGATATTCTGTCTATGATGTAGACCAATTTTGAGATGAATCTTTTGGGTATTTCTAAATACTTCTTTCTAATTAGGGAAAAAAACTCTAAAATTTAAAGATAGAAACCTAGACAGCTGGCATCAGGAAATAGGGTTCTTCTGAAGTTTTCAGAAATAATTGTAATGACAATTAGACTAGAGTGAATTCAGAAGAGGGGGTAGGAAGGCTTCTTAAAGAATGGACCATTTACTTTTTAAATCCATTATGTACCTCTTTCTGCTTCATTGCTTTGTTTGTTGGCCCTGGAGTGAAGAGGACAAGTGCTGCCTCTTCAGATTTTTAAAATATTGTGTTTTTAATATAACTGTGACAAGGAAATATATTATTATGTAAGAAGTAAAATAATGCTTCAAAATTTGTTACTTAAGAGCTGTATTAAGAGCTGTATTTGATCAAAATATGTTAACAGTTTGTGTGGTACTGTAGGTACTGTAACCCAGTGGAATATGGCAAGTTTCCTAGATGGTATAATTTTTTTTTTATAACTTTTCAGTGTGTTTTTAAAATTTAAACTGTTTATAGTACTGTGCATTTATCTTTATCTTTTTAAAATTATTTTGCTACTTAATATATGGATTTTAAGTTTAATAGTGTATCTCCTAGATAAAACATTGATTTGCTTTTACCTACATGTAGCTTCTGCAATTTTTATTTTGGTTATTTCATATTTATGGCCATAAAAAATATTTATTCAGTGCTGAGGGGACCGACACTGCTTATTTTTTTTTTTCTTGGTAGGAAAGAAAAGCTGATTTGCTTTCAGTGATCTAATTCAGTAAGAGTTCTTTAGTACAGCAAAGACATCTGGTATGAATGTAAGCAAAACATTTGGAGGATTTCTTTTTCATAGCCAATCGCTTGGTGGTAGAAAGTGGACCACTGTACTGCGTAAGAGGGTTTTAGAATGGTTGGAACTGTCATTTAGTTATGTAAATTAAATGTAGTATGTTTGGTAAACATTACATTTATTAAACTAAGGTGTAATCTATTAGATATGTCCTACGAAAGTTTCTTTTCTGTGAGTGTAGTTTTGTAGATGGCTTTCCTTGTCTCTGAACCTTTCCTTATGCGTTAAGAAAGTTTGCTGACATATTCACATTCTTATATTTAAAAGGTATGTTATGATAAAAAATGTGGAATTGTGAAAATCCTTAGTGCAAATAAAAGCATTCAAAAGAGCTTGATTGCAGAATTAATAATGTTATAGTTCTAGGAAAAGAGCTGCAATGGTAAATTAAATTCACTGTCAATAGATGAAAATGAAATAGCTTTTTTTGCATTATACATGAGGGTATCAGATGTGCAGGGATGTTACAGAAAATTTGTGTTTATCAAGGATATTCCAAATCGTAAATTAAATGCCTTTTCATTTGAGTATAGTGTATTTTCAGTGGCTTGGAAAGGGTGCAACTAGAATTAGATCTTTTGTTTTTAGTCCACAGTTGTGTATTTTTTTCTTATTACATTGAAATTGCTTATTTTATTTATAGTTCTGAGGCATGTTATTCATATAGAGCAAGAATATCCGTTGGAAAAAATGGTAAACCGGAATGCGTTGAATAAAATTTTGTGTGTGTAGTGACGTAACCTGATCAAATGTGACTTGAAATGTCTGGATAAAAGAAGGCTTATACTCTGCCTGTAACAGGTGGAAACCAGTCACAAACTATGGAATCAATTGTAAGGATAAAAAAAGCCCTGTAATTTATAAGAAGCTTTAATAATTCTGAACACTTTGTATGTAAATATGATTTTAGCTAGGTTATTACCTGTTCAGACAGATACATCTCTCTTCTGACAGACTTTAATAGTCTTTCTGTTCATACTTGACCATAAGCCTGTGGAATTATCTGAGGTCCTGGTATTCTTCAACATAGCAGCCTCTGAGCTACTTTCAACTTCTCTTACTCAGATATATTTAAGGGATACTTACCTTGCTCATCTCAAATGAACTAAATTATAAAACTGTGATTTATACTGCCTAGTTATGAGGACTTTCTTGTAGGATTATGTAGTAATTAAAGCCCTTTTTTGTGTGTTTCATATATGTACTTATGACTCATATTCCATTACAATGAATATGCCCGATATTTATTTCATGAAGCATTTTTCTGTTTCTTATTTGTAAGACAGAATATTTGGGGATAAGTGCACTTCACTTGTATAACTTAATGGATTTTCTCAAATACCTAAGTTTTAAAACAATGCAATTGTTTTCAGAAGGTTCACTTAAAATACTGGTGTATTTGAGAAAAACTTTCTTCAGGGTATATATTACAAGAGTACAGACATTGCTTAAGTAATCTGTTAAGCAACCTTGCTTTTCTGAGTAATTTTTAATATTTATGGTTGAGATGAAGAAAATAGTTTTTGCACATTAATTAGTATGAATTTAGAATTTATAGAACTGTATATTACATTGTGTATTTTAGCATGTCATATAAAGTAAAATAATTTAGGGAAATTGTATGATGAGGATTGTAAAGTGCATTTATCAATTACTGTAATCGGAAAAAAAAGATAAGTAGATTCATTTTTTTGCTGTGCTGTGTAATTCATTTATCTATTACTAAAAATCTAAATCTTACAAAATACTAACTTATTACCTGTGGTTTATGAATATATCTTTTATTCTTACTTGATTAAAGCAACCTAATTTGATTTATTTATATATCCTTTTTATAAGTAGGTTACCCAAAGTTAACGCCTTTTAATTAAAAAACAGCTTTCTCATTTTGGGAAATACATTACTGTATACATTTTCAGGATGGCAATAGGATAGTATTCTTTTATTCCTTTATTTGGCGTCTGAAGATGTGTTTGGTTTTGTTGATAAATAGATTGATTTTATCTGTTAAAATCATTTAATGAATGGTTCAGGTAGATAATTGGGAAAATGTATTGAATACATTATTCATTGGGAATAGTAAAGGATGTATAAAATAAATATTTTCATGTATGCCTTAGATTTCAGAACATTTCATAGTGTACCTATTTTATTCCATTATATGACACTGGAGATATTCATTATATCAAACAGGAATTCTCTATAATCTTAGCATATATTTGTGTGTGTTTTAAACTGTTTTCATACTTGCGGCTATAAAACTGGATCACATTTATTATAAATTATTTCCATTTTTGGTCCTTAAATTAAAATTTGAGCTCATTATTCCTAGATTTATTGTATCTTAATTTATCACTGTCCAACTTGGGTGATGCTTTTTTAAAAAATCACAAACTATTTATATGTGAAATCTTTAAAAATCATGAAAAAGCAGAATGTAGTGAAATTTTCTTTTAGTGAAGGAAATACCCCGCACTGCCTTAATTTTGACATGGGGAAAATTCAGTGGCCAATTTAACCATTAGGGTTGGGATTGTATAAGAATGATAATTCTTTTGGAAATAAGAGGAGTTTATGAAGTTTGGAATAGATCACTTTTGTTTACATTGTTGAAGGCAGAGTATTGTATTGGTAGTACAATGTGAATACTTTTGTTATAGCTTCTGAAAGTTGCAGTCTATACTCTTTTCTTTGATCTAAGATGCTTTGCATCTCAGAAATTTACTGGCATATATTTTAAGGCAAAGTTAGCAGGTAAATATAATTGTAACAAGTAGAAAATAAAGTATAAATTCCAATATTGTTGAATTTAATAGGGTAGCTGTCATTACACTGTGCTATACCTTTGGTTTTAGTATTGTCAAAGAGTTGCTGATGCATAATGTGTTTTTCTTTAAATATTAAAGTTGTAATATTTATGTTGGTCATACTGCCTATGGTTGTGGGTTATTTTATGTTTTCTGTCTCTATCCTCAGTTGTGGGAGGAGCCATAAGCTTTCACTTATACATTAATATCTGCCTGAAAATTTGCTGCATTTTTAATACTTTATTTCTCATTTTAAGCAATAGGAAATCTCAGCACATGAAGGAATGTTACTGGCATAGCACCATCTATATTAAAATTGTACTTTCCGAAAGTTATAATTTTTATAGTTAACCCATGAAAGCAAGTGTTTTGTGGTATGAAATTTTTTAGAAAGATTGAATTAGCATTAAAAATCTTAGCTATTCATTTTATTTGATTCTTTTTTTAATTTCATCTGGATGTTATATCTTCTATTATCGATTTAGTAAGTTATGGCTTTACAGTGTCAGTGTTTTCATGAATTATATAGCACAATGTCACTTTGAAATTTGCTATTTGAAGACTTCTAGATTTTGGAAAAATAGCTCATTTAAAATATGTGACATTGTAAGGTAATATAGTATGTCTAACAACATTGTCTTGCAAATATCACCCCCAAAGGATTTCAGGAATAGTTTAAAAATAGCACAGTTGGTGAAATAGTTCAATATTTATGTATTGAAGGTGTTTCGTATAATATACAAAGAGGAAAAACGATCTGTGTCTTGGGAACTCTAAGGAGTATGTGGTATCACTAAAAACCGAGCAAGAAACCACCAGTTAGAAACATGTCTTTTTATAGTTCGGTTCTTTTGTTTTGTTTTGCTCTGGCTTAAGATAATTAATTTTTGCTCTTAAATATTGCAAATAACATTTGCTGAACACACTTATGCCACTTGTTAACTAAAACTCAGCACCTAATAATTTTTTTTTTTTTTTTACTTAGAGTTTAGTCTCAGTTGTTTCCAGTTTAGTGGAGCTGTGTTTTAAAGGATAACTTTTATGAGCAAGTGCAGCTTTTCAGAATAAAATTGGGGGGATGAGGGTGGGAGATTTGTACTTGATTGCCATCTCATTTCCATC